CAGTTAGGGCCCTCTCCAAATTATTGAGGAGCAATGTCCATTTGAGGATTAAGGTGCACCTGATTCAGGCCATGGTCTTTCCGATCACTTGCTGTGCATCTGAAAGCTGGACAAAGAGTAAGGATGACAGAAGATGACTTCTGAAGCCCTTGAGCTGTGGTGTTGGAGAAGAGCACCAAACATCCTGTGAAGTGTCAAGAGAACAAACATAGATGTCTTGTAGAAGGTGCAGCCAGAGTGCTCCTTGCAGGCAGAGATGACAAAGCTTCATCTCACTGCTTTGGGCATGCTGCTAGGAGAGGCTGCTCCTTGGAGAGGGACATCATGCTTGGGAAGGTGGAGGGTCGGTGAAAGGAAGACCTTCAACCAGGCGGATTGACACAGTGACTGCAGCAAAGGGCTCGAGAGTGTTAGGAGGTGTGAGGACAGCACAGAGTTCAGATATGTTGTTCCCAGGGGTGCTATGGGTCACACTCAACGTCCCCCCAAGTTAGTAATGAACTTCCGGGCTAATTCCCAGAGTACACATTGAATGGGTTCTATCTTTATCAAGAATGGTCTATGCTGTGATACTCAGTGTGAAGAGAAAAGGATTTAGACACTGAAGTTGTCAGTTTTAAAGTTCTGTAAATGGCAATCCGGCTCAGCTGTGCTGTTAAATGTGGACTCTGGGCCTTGTCCGTAGGAAGTCGTGCTGTTAACCCAAAGCTGCCCCTCTCTGGAGGTCGGAACCCACCAGCAGCTCTTTTGAGAGAAAGATGGACAATCTCCTGTGTGATTTTCCACCTTTGAAACTCAACAGAGGACCAGCTCCGAGTTGGTGCTAAGTCAAAGACGGTGAAACGAGAAGTGGGCACATGTGAAGCCCACCTGCACGCTTGCCGAGTGTCCTGTCTGTCCTGCTGTTCGTGCTGCTGGTCGTGACGTGTGGGCTCCCCGTGTGCAGGGGAACAGTGCCCCACCGGGTCTGCAGGGCTGTGAGATTCGACACTGACCCCCAGAAATTCCTGGGCAGCAGTGAGAGGCACTTCTGACGTGTCCACATTGAAGAATCTGTGCTTGGTGTTTCCGACCGGAACTGGAGGAGTTGTTACTTCGTCAGGAAATCTCGAGTGTTGTCTGTGAGCCACGTCCACGGTGCCCCTGGGTGGAGGGGGAGCTTCGGGGACGGTCTGTAAGGTGCTGTGACCCACATCCACAGATCAGCACCCCTGGATGGAGCTTCGGGGACGGTCTGTCAGGTGCTGTGACCCACGTCCACAGATCAGCACCCCTGGGTGGAGCTTCGGGGACAGTCTGTAAGGTGCTGTGAACCACGTCCACAGATCAGCACCCCTGGGTGGAGCTTCGGGGACAGTCTG